GGAATGAACTAATAGATCTTTTAAATGAGGGTAAATCAAAGATCAGAAAAGGAGGCAGCAAAGGAAAAAAGGCATGCTTGCCCCAAGCTCTTACATGAACTTGGGGCCCTCTAGTGGCTGAACTCTGAGACTGCAAAGTAAGAACCTCCAGTCTGGCTGGGTGGATGGTGGGATTAACAGGGAACACAGGGGGCCCTCGCCGGGGCCTTAGAAGGCAGGAGTCGTAGGCTTATCAGAGGAACGGGCAGCCTCTTCAATATTCCTGGGAGTTCAATACATCCTTACGCTCCATCAACATCCCAATGGAAGGTTGGATCTTTTGCCTTTTTCAGTCATCTTCTCCACCCCAAAGTGAAAGCACAGATGCAGCTGTTTCAGTAACTGTGGAAATAAGATTTCTAAAAGCCTAATCTACTTTTAAAGAGGTATCGAAGATTTTATCCTTAAGCAACACAAAATGTATCTGATTTACCATGGTTTTCAAAGAAGTCCCCTATTAGGGACAACTTAAACCCAATACTTTTTCCACCTGATGGGAAGAGCTGACTCATTTGAAAAGACCCTGATGCTGGGAAAGATTGAGGGCAGGAGGAAAAGGGGACGACAGAGGATGAGATGGTTGGATGGCATCACCGACTCAATGGCATGGGTTTGGGTAGGCTCTGGGAGATGGTGATGAACAGGGAGGCCTGGCATGCTGCAGTTCATGGGGTAGCAAAGAGTCAGACACGACTGAGCGACTGAACTGAACTGAAACCCAAACCATGTAGGCTGTTATGAAACAGTCATGCTATATCAATTTGTTGGGCAAAGCAAAATATATCCTCAACTTTAGGCTAGTTATGATCCAAACTTGACATTCTACATGTCAGAAAGATGAAGAAAGAAAAGGAACTTATAGATATGCTTTCTTGAGCAACACATATGTTGTAAAAAAGAGGAATGTATGGAGGATTTCCTCTAATTTCTCAGTTGCCACGCTTTTCTAAGTCTTAGTTTACATCTATCAAACAGGGATATATTGGCTCCTTTGAAGGGCCATCTTCAGCACTCTGTGATGTCACACGAGAGAAACACAAGAGGCACCTCTGTGGTCCTCGGGAGAGAGGACTTAAGATGCTCAAGTCCTGGGTTTCTCTGGGTGCTGTGTGGTAAAGAATCTGCCTGCCAATGCAGGAGACACTGGTTTGATCCCTGATCCAGAAAGATCCCACGTGCCACAGAGCAACTAAGCCTGTGTGCCACAACTACCGAGCCTGTGCTCTAGAGCCCAGGAGCTGCAACTACTGAGCCCACGTGCCTCAACTACTGAAGCCCGCGCGCCCTAAAGCCCATGCTTTGCAACAAGAGAAGCCATCACAATGAGAAGACTGTGCACTCCAACTAGAGAGCAGGCCGTGCTTACTGCAACTAGATAAAAGCCCATGCTGCAAAGAAGACTCAGCATAGTAAAAACTAACTAAATAAAATTATTAAGAGAAAAAATAAAAAGTCAATTCCAAGCAAATCTCTGAGTCCAGAGTATTTGCCAGTCCATACTGCCAGCTTTAAAGAAACAAAAACAAATGATGCTCAAGTCCTGAGCAGGAAAGAGATGAGACCCACAAGATCAAGGAAGACTGAACTACATCCTCAGGCTGTAGTTGTTTAGAAGAAATGATGAAGGAAACTGGCAAAGTCCAAAGTCTGATCTCTACTTCTTAAGAGTCTGAACCACAAAAGTGAAATTCGAAACAAGTGATGCCAGGAACACATGAACTGAGAAAATTAGTACAGGAGGAGGATGGATTCTTCCTAGCACTGTTGTCTAGTTAGAATTTGTCCTCCAGAGACAACGTTTGCTGCTAAAATATTCATCTAAACACACAGCAGCCTTGCCTCAAGTACAGAGGGAAAGAGACTAAGACCAGCCCCTGGGGGTTGGCCCTATTCACCACGTGGCCCCAGGCAGGGCCCCCGGAATTCAACCTCTCCTATGGTGAAGCAGGCGATCGAAGGAATTAGAATAAGCTTTAAAAGGTCTATTTTATATGTCACCTCAAAAAAAGCAAAGCCCAAATAAATATGAGGGGCATTCTTAAATGGTCAAGCTTCATAATTTTATAACAGGAAGAAGGACTAACGTCCCCCCCACTTGTGGATTGTAAAGAAATATGTCACTCTGCTATTTCAGCAAAGTGTAAATAAAAGTACCACTGAGGTAAAGGGGAAAGATCTCTGGCCATATATTTTCATCTTGGCATAGTCTATTACCAACGTAGATGCTAAATCAAGTGTCCATCTTTCCTTCTTAAATGTACAGCTTGTCAAGTAAACTGAACAGCTGAATATTTAAAAAGCATTCTCACGATCATGGTTCTGGACAGACTGTGGCCGGGAGCCCCTTGGGTCTGTGGGAAGGACTGTCTCCTGCCGGCCAGAATGTCCGTGTGGACACAGCTGGTTTTCATCCCCCTTCTGGGTAGCTCAGAGCAGCCTTACAGCCACCCTCCAACTCCTCAGACATCCACAAAGCCTGGGTTAGGAAGCTGAATCTTTACAGCATCTCACTTTTTTTTTTTTTTAATTAGAACTTTACAGTAGAATTAAAACTGCTTTCAGAAAGAAAGAAACTAAAATTTGCTAAACACAGGCAAGTGAGCCAAGAATGGTTGCATAGCAGTTGGACACAAAACTTCATTAGACATCCTAACAGACAGAATATACCCCAAAATGGGAAATCTCTTTCAAAGCCTTTGAGAGAAGAGAGTATATTAGTATTTTCTACTGGAAGTTTATCCCAAGAATGTTTTCTGATGTGTAAAAGATGAGAACTTGTGTATAAGTGATATTTATCATTAATTTCCTTAAATGATACTTCATCCTTTTACCTAATCAGTTATCAATAGTTGGGTCTTTGGAGGGTGCAGAGAAAAGGGAACCCTCCTACACTGTTGATGGGAATGTAAACTGGTGCAGCCTCTATGGAGAAGAGTATGGAGGTTCCTCAAAAAAACTGATCCAACAGTCCCACTCCTGGGCATATAACTGGAGAAAACACTCAGCCTACAAAAGCCATGCCTCCCAGTATTCACAGCAGCACTATTCACAGTACTCAAGACCGAAAAGTCCAACCTATAAGTACATCAACAGAGGGATGGATAAAGAGGATGTGGTAATATATACAACGGAATACTACTCAGCCATAAAATGGGATGAAATATCGGCATTTGTAGCAACACGGATGGATCTAGAGATTATCATACTAAGTGAAGTAAGTCAGACAGAAAAAAAAAAACACTATATGACATCGCTTACATGTAGAAGTTAAAAGATAATACAAATGAACTTGTTTATGAAACAGAAACATACTCATAGATATAAAAAACAAACTTAGGGTTACCAAATGGAAAAGCAGGGAGGGTGATAAATTAGGAGTATGAGATTAACATATATACACTACCATATATAAAATGTCAATAGATAGACAACAAAGGCCTACTGTATATAGCACAGGGGACTATAGTCAACATCCCATAATAACCTAAAATGGAAAAGAACCTTCTATGTATATATATAACCAAATCACTCTGTGGCATACCTGTAACTCACAACAACATTGTAAATCAACTCTACTTCAATAAAGGAATAGTAAGGACTCTGGATCAAGCCCCCTGTGAGCTGGGTTTCCGTGGAGGAGGACTTCATGCCAGAATAGGCCAAACACCTTCTAGTTAGCTCACCCCAACATCCAAGCCTCCTCAGTCTTCTAGGTATTCTGTACTGTGAATTTTATAGACTTCCTGATGCTGGCCATTCTAACTGATGTGAGGTGATACCTCATTGTAGTTTTGAAATTTTAATTCCTCTGATAATTAGTGATGTTGGGCATCTTTTCATGTGCCTTTTGGCCATTTGTATGTGTACTTTGGAGAGTTTTCTGTTTACTTCTTCTGCCCATTTCTGGATTGGGTTGTTTCTGATATTAAGCTATGTACTGTGAAGTTTAAATAAGCAAAGGCAAAAGAAAATAAGCTTTAGCACTCTCATTAATTTGTTGGTTGAAAAAGTCTCCACCTATCTAACATTTTGTGACTATTATTCCAAGGTTTGACTTGAAAAAAATGAATGAAAAGTTTTCACTGTGGTTTATTATATTGTCTTAAGTAGTTGGAAATGTACTTAGAGAAATCAGAGTTGCCAGTGCAGTTCAGAGGAAGAAAACTCCTGAAAGGTGGAGGTGCTAAGGGAAGGGGTGGGGGGGGGGTGGGGATCTAAGTGGGTGGAGCCATACTTCTGCCAATCAAACTAGGAAATTGAGAAGTTTCTTCACCCAGTCCTCCGTCACTTACATCTTTTGCTAAAGGCTAACAAGGAAAACACAACCCCAAATATTTAACTCTGATTCTTTGTATCTGCCCTCTTTATCTCCTCTCAACCCTCTATCACTCTTTTGAGTGAAATGAGGTTTTGCTATTATTTAATCCTCAGATGCAGTCTTCACAGCTATTACCTAATATGAAATGTCTAAATGCACTGCAGAGGTCATCCATTTTACTTTCTGTAACATAAACAAAACTTCGATTCAAATCCCAAGGATTTGTGTCCTAAATCTGAATTTATCTCCAATCCCTCCACACATATTTTCCATTGATAAGACAGTCACAAGCGGTGGTACATTCAATTTCAAGCCGCACAAACCTGAAAGGAAAAGAGCCACTATCTCTGCTCCCATCCCTGGCTGGTCAGAGAATTTAGTATTAAAAAGAAAAGAAGACAGAAGCAGCAACCAAAGAAGCAGGCTAAAGTCTCTGTTTCCTCATAGAGTTTTGAACCAGCACCTCCCAGCATTATCTGTCCAGACACCAGGATGAACGTGGTTAGCTTTCAAACTTCCCCGAAGAATAGCACATTCATGATTTTCTCCCACTGTCTGTTCCTCGGATCTTTGTCTAAAAGCAAGCTGTAAACTACTCATTCCACCCTAACAGAATTCCTTCTCAGTCATGAAATCTCGTTACCTTTCTTTAATGGACATGGTTTTGCTGGGGGAGTCGAGGCTGCCCTCCACCGCCGGGGCTTTGATCTCTCCAGCAGCAAACATCGCACACGGGCTCTGATACCGCTTCTCCTGAGGCTGTTCGGAGAGATCCTGCGGCTTCCAGGACACGGGGGTTGCAGTCGGAGCAGCCGGTTTCCCAGCAGCCGCGCCGGTCTGCTCAGAAGTGGGTTCCCCGAACTCCGCCGCTGGGAAGGAAAGGAGCCCTGTCAGCACTTACTCCCCCAGGCAAACATTCTTCAAGCCCTTCACCCCCGGATGATCCCGCACTTAGAGTTCAATCCGTGGGCACGTGGCAGGTTACCCAATCCACTGGGGTTTATGCAAATCTGGGGCACGGCTCCCATCCCTGAGAAAACCAAACTTCCCAGCGGATGACCCCACCCAGCGACTTGTTCTGTGACAATTGGTCTCCTACGTGCCAGACACAGGAAGTTGGTTTGGACAACACTGCAGAAATGTCTCTACGCCTCCTAAACAATACTTTGACATTTCACATGTGCAGTACTCCCCAACCAAAGCCACTCTTACAATTGACATGCTATCATTTTATGGAAATGCAGAGAGAGAATTACAGTCCTGTGTAGCATGGCTTGCTAGTCTGCACAAGAAGGATCTAGAAAGAGAACCTGAAACTCCAGAGACTGGGTTCCTGCCCTATTCCCTGTGCTCTGCTCACCCAGCCTGGGACCTTTGAGGTCATCAGTTTAATTTTTCTTTTTTTTATATTTTTAATTTATTTATTTTTATTTTTTTGGTCATGCTGCAAGGCACGTGGGATCTTAGTTCCTTAATCAGGGGTCGAACCTGTGACACCTACATTGGAAGCTCAGAGACTTAACCATTGGATTGCCAGAAAAGTCTTGTGAGGTCATCAATTTCTAAAAGAGAGTCAAAAGAGCTAGCAGTTCAGTTAACATGACCAAAGTCATCCAAAACCCTGATGAAGATGTATTAAAACATGTCAGGTACTTTTATGGCAGATATATTAATGAGTCCTCTGAACAGATCAAGTTCAAGAGGAAGAAAAGTCCGGGGAGGGTACCATTCACACCAGACTTTCAATCAACGCTTAACACTCAGCTGTCAACTGCCTTCACAATTCAGTTAAAAACAATCCCAAACACATGCGACCCATCCAGCAGAAAGGAAAGAGCAGTAGTGTTACCTTTCAGCGAAAACTTCCTCTTTGTGACATTCTCCAAGTCCACCTTCTCTTCAAAGAGCTGCCTCTCCTTCCAGTCCGGGCTCACCTGCATGGTGCTCTTTGGGGTGGAAAATTCCTTCAGCTCATCACCAAGCTGGGTGATGGGAGGATAGGCAAGCTCCAGGCTTCCTTTCCTCGGAAGGGCATAGATGGGTTCTTTATGGCTGTCTCCCTCTCGGACTCTGCTGAGGACAGGGTAGGACAGCTCTGCTTCCTCAAAGGACGCGTACTTTGCAACCCCGCCATCTCCATCTGTCAAGCCTCCCTTGCGTTCTGTCTCTTCAAATTCTCTCAACATTGCTTTGCTCCCAGCACCCTCAACCGAGGGCTGCCAGCCTTGGGATTTCAGGATGCTTCTAACTGGGGAGTTGGAGTTTTCTAGCGAAGAAGCAAACTTTTGCTCGGTGGCACCGAAGCTGTCATCCGGAAGTGGCTTTGTCCGAAGATTCCCTGCGTACATAGGGGTGACGGTAGATGCTGCGGTGGACACGGATGTGTTAACGGTGGGAGAGAAGGCCATGAGCTTGCCACTCTGCACCTGGGAGGACACAGTTCAAAAATAAAAGCTGGTTTAAAAACACCGCCTGGGTAAATTCCCGTGGAAGGACTGACATGGACGGAGACACTACATTTGGGGCAATTTTCCTGCTTCTGTTGGTGAGAAACCAAACCTAGATGTAGTTGCACAAATGGGTCTCGTTAATCCAATCATCTGGGTGAAAGGCAGGTCGTGCATCCTGTTTTTCTCCCCTTGATGGACTCAACTTCAGATGATTTCAGCCATGATGTGAACAAGAGAAGAGAAACATCCTTGGCACGGTTATCCTCCTTAAGAATGAAGTTATGACCAAGTAGCGACAGGTAACACAGAGTACAGGCAGAGCCCCTTAATTGTGTCATTAACCCCCGTGGGACAGCATGCTCCCATATTTTCAGGACATACGTGCAACCTTGAAGCTGGATCACAGGGCACCCACCTGTTCCACTTCTCCAAGCGTGACCGGCTGGGTTTGATAACGAGCATTCATCCTCCTCTGTCTCATATCTAATCTGTTCCGCGTTGAAATGGCTTTTGAGACCGGCTGGGACAGTTTGTTAAACAAGGCCAGCTTCTCCGCTAAGCTCAGAGTGGAGGAGTCGGGTTCTCCCTGTTCAGCAGAGTCTTTGCCCTCATTTGTCTGGTCTCTGGCTAATGCCTTTTGGTGAGCAGACGCCTGCAATCTGAAAGGGGGGAGACGTCAGCCCCACACAGGGAGAGAAACAGAAGCCCACTGCTAAGTCTGTCTGTTAACTTTCTTCAAAGTATCACTGGAAAAGGGGCTTATTTTCCCCTATCTAGATTCAAGACAGGCATGGGCAGTTGGTCAGCTATTAATAAGACAGTGAACACTCTAGGCTGAAGACCCTTGCATGGTCAATGTCACACAGATTTTCAGCTCTGGATTATTTCTAAACATTGAGCTTCCTAATTACAGAATTAAATAAATTAAGGCTTAGGTATACCTTATCTTAGAGAGAGGAGCTGTATTGTTAGTATCAACAATAAATACAGCTAGGAGGAGTCCTCAGACCTTGCTTGCAGCTTATTTGCTGCTGCTGCTGCTAAGTCACTTCAGCCGTGTCCGACTCTGTGCGATCCCATAGACAGCAGCCCACCAGGCTCCTCTGTCCCTGGGATTCTCCAGGCAAGAATACTGGAGTGGGTTGCCATTTCCTTCTCCAATGCATGCATGCATGCTAAGTCGCTTCAGTCGTGTCCGACTCTGTGCGACCCCATGGACAGCAGCCCACCAGGCTCCTCTGTCCACAGGATTCTCCAGGCAAGAATACTGGAGTGGTTGCCATTTCCTTCTCCATGCAGCCTATTTAAACATTATCTAAATGTGTGGTTCAGAAGGTGGTCTTTACATTTTTTTTTTTTAATTCTCTTTCTTAAGTTTTTTTTTTTTTTTCTCGTGTGGACCATTCTAATGGTTCACAAGGTGGTCTTTACATTTTATTTTTTTAAATTCTCTTTCTTTTTTAAAGTTTTTTTTTTTAATGTGAACCATTCTAAAAGTCTTCATTAAATTTGTTACAATATTGCTTCTGTTGTTTATTTTTCTTTTTCGTGGGGACAGACAGAACGCATATCTCTTATCTCTCTGGGATCTTAGCTCCCTCACCAGGGACTGAACCTGCACCCTTCTCCATTGGAAGGCAAAGTCTTAACCACTGGACCACCAGGGAAGTCCCTACATTTTAAACAGTTAGGAAATAATACAGTTATTTGTATCAAAAGCATTAACTATAACACAGGGTTTTGATGTTCACTTACTACACACAAATAGTTTCACTGTAAAGATCATTCTCCTTTTTTAACCTAGGATTTTCTCTCATAGGTTTCCATCTATTTCCTAAAAGGTACTAAAAATCTGAAATTCCTGGTAACTTGAAAGGTAAAGGATATTTTGGTGCTGATAAATCCTTCCAAGAGGAGAAGCTTCCAGTTACCTGGTCACGTGAATCTCGGGAGGTCTAAGACAATGTACCTTCTGCCACAGGCACATCCAATTCTCAAGTCCAGAAGAATATATTCTGCCTTGACTCCGATTAACTAGTGCTTTACAAGTTGTCCCAGACAAGAGAGGGGTGTCAGTTTTCCAAGGCACAGTGAGGTGGGAGTAAGGGGACCTGAGTCTTGGCATCTTTTCTGAGGTCCAGAGAAGAACTGGGCTTTCCAGGTGGCTCTCGTTGTAAAGACACCAATTCAGGAGACGCAAGAGATGTGGGTCCAATCCCTGGGTGGGGAAGATCCCCTGGAGATGGAAATGGCAGCCCACTCCAGTATTCTTGCCTGGAAAATTCCATGGAGAGAGGAGCCTGGTGGGCTACAGTCCATGGGGTCACAAAGAGTCGGACCTAACTGAGCACAGAGAAGAACTAGGTGTGCGAGAAACCTGCTTCCCCAGAGAGAGCCCGCATCTGGACAATGCCAGCTTTCTTTCTGGACTGTCATCTTACTTGTTTTAATCTTGCTTTAGCCTTTGTATTTTGGCCTGTAACAGTGAAATAGAGGGGATATTTACCTGCCTTAAGGACATCACTTTAAAACACCACAACTTAAAACATAACAGTAAAGCATTTAAGTTCAGACACTAGAAATTGTTATTGTCTGGATCCTCAAATATAACGGCATTATCTATCCATTAGAAAACAGGTAAGGTTGTTCTTAAGCATGTATTCATGTCTAGGAGTGTTTAAGTATGTTAAGACTTTCAACATTCAGGTTAACATCCTATTTTTCTGTTAATCTTTATTAAGTGCTAGTATTTTAGATGAAAAATGAAACTTTTTACGGATGACCAGGGTTATGTAAAACAGAAACAAAACAAATGGATGAGTGGGTTAGTTGGGGTTGAGTTCCAGGACAGAGAGAAAGCAGGTGGATGAAATGCCGGCATATGCAGGCCTACATGAAGTCCCCCGGTGTGAGACGGCAAGATGCCACACGCTTCGCTGGGACAACTCCTTGCGCTGACTCGTTTGTCAGACAAACGACAGACATTCAAGATCAGAAGATGCACCTCTGCTCTCAGTGCGACATGCAGCAACTTCTGTCCAGTACCTGGCAGGCTGCACGGGACTCTTAGCTACAGTGGGGCTAGGATGTCTTGTCATTACAGGGTGGGTGGCCACTGAGCACGAAGCGGGGGTAGGTTCACTTTAAAAGCAATTGCCAAAGGTGGAACATTCATAAGGAGAGAGAAGAAAAGAAGCATTAAGGAGAGTGTAGTTTTCAATTCAGAAACATTACGTCAAAACATATTGGAACAAAATCGTTCGCTTGTTTCTTTGGGAAAATCATAAAAGAACTTGAAAAGCAATTACAAATCGAGGAAATAAGAGACAGAGACGACCCAAAGTCAGTGGAACAGGAACAGATTTTTTTGAGCTTGGAAAGGATTTAGAATATTTAGAATAAATGTCCCAGTTTAAAAAAAAATTTAAAAGAAGCTAATATTAACCACCAGCAAAGCAGTAGATTATGTCTCTGTTTTACAAAGTTGTCCTAAGCTTTTTTTTAGAAAAACCATGGTCCTCATATCATCTATAAGCACATCAAAGTACATTCAGGGAGTCTGACAAGTGGATAATTTTTGCTTATATTTACTGTCTTGCTCCTAGGGTTGTTTCTTATTTTACAATAACCAAATATTATTTTTTTTTTTATTTGCCAAGAGTTCCCAGTGAATATAAGATGTACTTATCCACAAACAGGAAGTTCAGGTGGCTGAGTTAATAGCAGCTTCTCATGTGGGTTGTTGATGCTCTAAATGATTATGAACTTCATTTTTTTCAGGAAGGGTGTGTGCATTCGTGTGTCCAGCAGGAGAAACTATTTTTAAAAAAACTAACAAAAGTTTTCACTTAATGGAAGCAATGATCCCTGGATGAATTACTTTGGGAAATTCATACTGAATGCATGGGAACACACTGCTGAAAACCTACTTCCCACTGTTTGGAGACTTCCACTGAATTAAAAAAAAGATAGAAGTCATGATAATTTAAAAACCAAGAGAATCTTTCTGTATCTTTAGTCTGTTTTGAGATACAGACTAAAATATTTATGGAGAAAATGATATATGGGGTTTGCTTGAAAATACTACAGCAGGAAACAGGTAGAGTGAAATGAGATGGGCTTGGGGTTTTTGGCTCTTGGGATTGGGTGATGAGGACATGGGCACTCAGGACATTAACCCATCTACTCTCGTATTTTAAATTTTCCATTGTAAAGGGATTAAAAAAGAAACCAGGCAAAAAAAATAAAAAGAAAATTCCCCTTCATGTTCTTCTAGGAGACATACAATAGGTAACACACCCCTTTACAAGGTTCAGGGACACCAGATACCCAAACACCTACTTTTTGGTGGCTTCTAACTGAACCATCTTCTGATCACCTCATTTTAAAGGTCTTTAAATTTCTCTTCACAAAGAAGGCCTTCCAGTCAAGGCCCAGAGGCCCCGGGGGGACTTACGTGGCTGCAATGACCACCTCTTCGGTGGTGACGGGCTGCGTGTGGGACCGGTCCTGTAGGCGCCGCAGCCTCTGCTCCACAGCCGCGTTGCGGGAGCGGCGCTTCGGGACGCTCTTCTCATCAAACGATTTCTCCATCTCCTAAGATGGGAAACAGTGTGGAAGCCTGAACAACTGGAGGAAAGGGAGCTGGGGCGGCAGAATGTGGCTACTCTGCAGACACTGCAGGGTCTAAGGAGGCCCCCCACCCTGCCCCCCACCCCCCCAGGAGGCAGCACCGTCATCAGCAGCAGGTACATCAGCCACATCGGAGGAGAGATCACACCAGAGCCCAGAGCCAGAGCGGCCGTGGGGCCACCTGCAGGAGGCAATGTCTTACTCTGATGACCTTTCAGCACGTCTTACCCTGAAGAGCAGCCTCTTCGCAGCAACGCTCAGCCTCGCTCGCTCATCGACCTTTTCTTCATCTGTGAAGAGTCACAAATAAAGACTGAACATCATTAGAAAATGTAGGGAAAGTCTCTGAAAGGTTTTCCAAGGCGGACTTGGAAATCTTCTGAATAAAAGAATCAATATGCTAAAGGGGATCATCCCAATCCAGGGATTGAACCCAGGTCTCCCGCATTGCAGGCAGATTCTTTATGGTCTAAACCACTAGGGAAGCCCAAAAATAACAAGAGGCAATATTTTCCTCTGGGTGAGGAAGGCTATTCTTCTGCTCAGTGAAAAGGTACTAATTCCCATGGCAATTCACCAAACAAAATTCTTGTCCAGGCAATAATTTTCTACTATCATATTTAAGAATAGATATTATGGAATTAAGAAGAGATTTTAAGGAAGGAATTCCTCTTCTTTATTATTAAATAGTAGCAAGAAAGTAACAAGAAAAACCTGCTTCTTTGATTCAAATCAATTGTTTTAATATGGTTAATATCACGGCTCTCTCTCTCTCAAAATCAAAGGAAAGTTCTGGTGAAAACCTCAGTAGGTTTTATTATGTTCACAGGAAGAAAACCTGCTGAAAAGAAAGTAATTGTTCCATAATCTCATTCTTTTCAAAAGCAAAAATCTTATTATCTAAATCTAATCTGGGATGAGATGATTAAGAAGAAAAAGGATACTTGCCCTCGGCAGCTGGCATTTCTGAATTTGAAGTTGACCTAGGAAAGACATGAGTGAAAAAACAAAAACAGACAATTAGCTGGTTGGAGTGGAAGATCCAAGGATCACATTAAAAGTGAAAATAAAGATTCAATTAAAGCCTCTTAAAGAACATCCTCCTGGTAGCAACTCTAGTTGTGACTATGCATGGGCAACTATTACAGACACTGTGGGGTATGTGTGCACACAGCCCGGCCAGGTGCTTCACCTTGTGGAGACAAACCAGGACCAAGTAGGACCTATTAAACACAACTGACAATCATCTTTTAGACAAACACTTTCATTTCTCTGTGTTAGCATATGATAAAAACTCACTCACATACAACATGCAGATAGACATTGATAAACTGAATATGAATCCCCTTAGTTATTTTCACCATAAAATCTAGTGGACAATTTGGATTCTAACTTAAGGGCATAAAAATTTAAAAACATTAAATGTTTAATGTTTCTCATTTCTTACCATCTGAATGCAATTTAAAACTGTATGTTGATATTGGCATCATGGTCAACATTCTTTAGACACATTTATACCAGCCAAACAAACATCCCTTAAAGCTTGGATGGAAGAATTATGGAGTCATTCCATCCCATTGAAATAGCATCACAAACCATCCTTGGGGTAGAAATTTCCATAGGATTTCTTTTAAGTTCCTAGACCAGGGAACTTGACAGACACATGCCTACCTATCCGATTCCTTTCGTTCTGCCGAGGTTATGGGTTGAGTTCTAAATCTCTCGGAAGTCTTTCTATTTTCACCAGGAGAAAAATAGCGCCTCGGTTTCCGGGACCCTCTCTCCCGTTCCACACCAGGGCCTTCGCTTGACCCCTCAACCCGAGAATGGCTTTTAGAGTTGGTGGGGAGAAGGGACACAGAAGGGACACAGAGAGAGGGAAGAAAGCAAAGGTTTATGTACCCTGGTGAGTCAAGGCACGGACAGTGCAAATCCCACCACATGCCTCTACCATGCATGTCGGGAGACCCGATACTCTAGAGGCACCTCCCACCGCCCGCCCCAGCCCCGTTAGTAGGCACAAGCAGAATGGTAGTCGTGGAGCCATGTCCTGGATGGTCTGCCCTATACACACTGGTGAGCTAAGCTGGTAAGACTCAAGGCAGTATGCCACACAAGTCGGAAGGTGAATAACTCTGCCAAGGACGTGCAAGTGACACATTGGGGGGACACGTGGACATCACCTACAGCTCGGGTTTCCTGCTGGCCCTGGCTGACTCCAGGAACGCATTGCGGAGCTGGGCGACTGAGACCTTCGTGTCCAGCAGGCCCAGTTCCAACTCGGCCTTGGACGTCTGTGACTCGGCATCTCGCTTGGGAGCCGGGGCCTTGGCCTTCAGAGCCTGGAGCTGCGGGGGGCCCGTGTAGTCGGACAGGGAGCGGGTGAGGACCCTGTGTTTCCGCGGGGGTGCCTCCTTCCTGTGACCTTGGGACGCTGCCTCGCTCTGAACGTACATGACCATCTCACTCCTGCCCATCCTCTCGGTGGGCTGCCGCTGAGCCGTGGGCGGGCGGGCCAGGCTCTCTGATTCCTTCTGAGGTTCCGCGGTAACTATGCCAACAGCGGGCTGACTCAAATCCCCGGTTCCAGGGGGGGCTTCCTGGCTTCTCCCAGACCCATGATCCTCCAAAACCGCAAGGGTCTTCCTGCTTTTCTCCAGAGCGTCAGAGAAGAGCACGTCTTCTGCTTTGGATTCACAAATATGGAGAACTGGGGTGTCTCTTCTTTCACCTTCTAGAACCTTTGGTGGGGGAGGCTTTGTGACAGTCTGGGGGAGCGGGCCCGCCCAGCTGCCCTCGGAGACGCTTTCTGGGGTGTCTGAGGTCACCAGCGTGATGGTGTGGACGGGCTCTGCTGGTTGGACGTAGCCGCGGATGGGCTGTCTTGCAGAGCTGGTCACCTTGCCCGAGACCCTATCGAAGGCCGAGTTCTCTGACTGAAAGGCCAGGTAATGGCCTGACGCCGTCTGGTGTCTCCTCTGAGTTAAGGACTCGGAGGCAAGTTCAGGGCTGCTGCGAGCGCTCTCCTCTCGCACCAATTTTTCTCTAACTTTAACTCTTTAAGAAAGAAAAAGGATTTAAGTTGCCAAGTGCCTTAAGGGCTCTGGGGGACGAGAGCATGTGTGTGCAGACCAGGGATGCCTGGAGACTGGATAAGCATCTTGGGGTCCCACTCTCCTTGCCATGTGCAGACCAGGGATGCCTGGAGACTGGATAAGCATCTTGGGGTCCCACTCTCCTTGCCATGTGCAGACCAGGGATGCCTGGAGACTGGATAAGCATCTTGGGGTCCCACTCTCCTTGCCATGTGCAGACCAGGGATGCCTGGAGACTGGATAAGCATCTTGGGGTCCCACTCTCCTTGCCAGAGGAAGGAGTTTGTGTTGAGTTTACAAACTCGTTCTTCCTTCTGTAAAGCTAGGAGGGGCCAGATGCTATCCTGGGAGAGAATGGATGCCTTCCGACTAAACGAATACTCAGAAGCCCAGGGAAATTCATTACTATGCACCGCTGGTATGCACCAGGGTGCACTGAGGCTGGGCTATGAGTGGGTAAGCTTTCCATATGGACAGGCCCAGTCTGTGGACTGGGGTGGAGGTGGTTTCCAGGCATATATAAGCCTAAATACCAAATGTAATTGCATTGTCTCCTATAAATGTCATAGCATTCATGATGACGGTTATTTTTTTATTGAGCTCAAGATACAGCAAACGATTACCCCTTTTCAAGCATATAAGAGTCACAAATTTTTCCATGCCATGCAGACAACATTCATTCATTCATTCAGAAAACACATGACCAGTTAAGACATCATCACTTCCAGCAACTCCAGTGCTAAGAGAGATGTCAGGAAAAAAAAGATTTTTGTTGAAAGAATGCACTGAACATGTTCTCCCCACTGAAATGGTCATTAGGCCCTCAGTTAAAAACTAATCCAAAAAGGGAGGGCTCTGGTTGTTTCTAGAGCTATTTAAATGGCCGAGAGCAAAACTGAAATTCACTGGAAAAGATACCAACTTTATTACTGTGGAAGCAAAGTAGCCAAGACCTCTGAGGGGCCCAGGAGACCTCTTTTCAAAGGTTCAGTCAGCCAGTTTGAGCTGTGTGGTCTCAGATAACCTACCTGCCTCAGCTGCTTCATCTTTCAAATAGAAATAATAGTAACAAGATGTAATGTGATGCTTGCAAAGTATGCAGTTTAGTGCTCAGCAAAGGGTAAACATTCAATAGCGCAAACTAGTTGTTTTTACTTTTTTTTTTAAAATACCACACTGTGAGGAAGGACAAACTATTCAAACTGCTTATGAATGAACTGTGGACTGGGGATAATCTTTAAAAATAAAGGATGCTTTTGAAGTGAGAGAAGTGATTTCTTGGGGACTGGGAAACCTTTATTTGCTTAAGATTAGTCAGCAAAAATAATTGCTTGTGATATTCACTTTCTAGAAGGGAATTTTTCCTTAGATGACAAAGGCATCCTGCTAAATTTGATATAAACACCTACGTGTCTTTCAACATAAGATGCAGGATATGTATATTTCATTAAAGAAAAGTCAAAGACACACATAAAAGGCAGTTACTGTGAACCATTCAGGGGGAAGAGAAAAGCATCCTGAGTTGTTATTTTTCCCAGAGATTAGCGACTGTTGGAGGTTTTCATATTTATAAGCTTTGTTAGTTTGTTCAAGTTCTCCTGCGGAATGTGTCCTTGTCATCGGAGACAATCTGAATGTTGTCCTCAGCCAAGAACAAAGTGACTGTTAGAAACTTGATATATGGGTGCTTTGTCCTGCCAATGACTTACTCATTCTTACTCCTTCTGTCTCTCCCTGCCCCCAACCTTAAAAATGAAATGAGAGGGGGTTTTGTCTGCTTTGAAATCCAGATGCCCTATAAGTAGCTGTGGAAATTGACAACTGGTTGAGAGACAGGCAACATGGAAAGGAGGAGGCTGGAAGTCCAGGACAGGGGAGCTGATGATAAGATGGGACCCTGGGTGGTTAGCCTGGCTCAAGGTAGCAGTCAAGAGATGCTGGTTATGTGCTCACTACAGCTCCCTCCTGGCAGCATGTGAGTGGTGAGAAAGGACAAAAGCCAGAGGTGGAGTCAAAAGATTTTCCAAAAGAGAAGCAATTAGGGCAGTAGAAGGAGCAAAAGGAATGATTAGAAAGCAACTTCCAGCAGCCCCTTTTTGAACATGTTATTTTCAAAAGCCCTGCCACCAAAAAGAGGGCAAAGGCAAGTTAGTTTCAGTCACGTGCAGGACAGGGACACACTCACTAAACACAAGCTGACAGCTTGGGAGATACCTGGATGGCCAGTTGATAAGTGAAGGTGTGTCCCCTTCGGAATCTTTCTGGAGAAACCACTCATGTTTGGGTTTCCCGGTACTATTTTGTACAAAAAAAAAAAAACTTCAGGTAAAGCCTATGAAAACGTCAACACATACACAGACTTCATTATTATCATTTAAAACCCCAGGCTGACTTTTCTTAAGTAAGGAATAATGCTGGCTTTTGAAAATGTCTAAGCATGCTTTGCCATGGTGTTTCTATTCAGTGCATGGAATGTCCAAGACATTTGTTTATTACTGATATCAAGATAGAACAAATATCTCTGAAGTCACCAAATAAAGTGTTTGGTGGGATCATTTGGAAATATCAGGAGTCTGCTACAGTCACATTCTGCCTATAAATACCAGACAATTCTCTTGTGAGAGGTTGAATTTAAAAACATAAATTATCATCTGCAAGTTCTGTAAAGGTACACTGGTAAATAGCCAAATATAAAAATAGTGTCCGTGTAAAACAATACATATGAAATAAGGGCAATGAATAAAAAGAAATTCCATAAGGCCATATCTTTAATTGCTATTCTACATTTTTCTTTTATATTTATCACTGAATAATGCAATCGATGGTTACCAAATACTAATGGAAGTCCATTTGATAAATGCTTATTGAGTTCTGACTATGTAGAAAGCACTGAGCTGGGGCCTGAGAAGTAGCCAAGGAAAATCAGGCATCACGCCAGCCATCAAAAAACCAACATTGTGCTGGGCAAGATAACATTGGATTGACACATTCATTCTTCAACACACAATCAAATATAATGCAAGGCTGAATATGAGAAAGTCATAACGCCAAGTTGAAGATATGTTACCAAAAAATCAGTGGCAAGGAAAATCTTGCCATCACTATGTAAAGCAAGACATAGGAGGACTACCCAAATCATTGACCTGAATGCTCTTACAAAACAGAAAAAAAGCATGGGAACTCTACATGCTAGTTAAAATGTTTACTAGCTCAAAATCTTACCAGCCTACCTGTAAAAGTCCTTCAATACCAGACCAGAAACACAGATCAAAGACATTTCCAAAAGAACAAAATAATAATTAAAACAAAATTCTCTTAGTTTCTAAAAATCATTTTAATTTGGGTTTTGTTTCAAACTCCCAGGCAAGAACCTGTTGATCATCACTACTGTGCATTTTGTTGTGACCACTGCAATCTGTCACAATTAGGCATGGATCTCTGTTCTCCAGTCTGTCTCTACCCAAATGTATGACCCCACCTTTCTGTCTCTAGTATTATAGCCACTGAGCCCATGGTAAATAAAAAACTCAGATTATGGAAAGACATTTTTATTTCCAGTGATAAAGGATCGAATTTCTCAGCATTTATTTAAACATAGGAATAGTTCTGCATATTGTCTGCAGTTTAGGAAGGAGGCAATCAATATAGCTTGGGATAGAGAGACCACAGTGGATATTTTCTTTTGAAAATCACCAGTTAATAACTCATATACCTATCTCACAGTTATTTTAAGGCCCAGATGCTTTTTGTACAATAGAATATATTGCAAACTGTGACATATGACATACAACTTTCTGAATATAATCTTCATTAATCAGAATAAAACTTGGTCAATAGTACCCTAAAAAATTATAAGGCCAGTTATAAGATAAGCAGGTTCTAGGAATGTAATGTATGACATGGCAAATACAATTAACAGTGCTGTATGATATATATGAGGGCTTCCCTGGTAGCTCAGACAGTAAAGCGTCTGCCTACCATGCGGGAGACCTGGGTTCGATCCCTGGGTCAGGAAGATCCCCTGGAGAAGGAAATGGCAACCCACTCCAGTATCCTTGCCTGGAAAATCCCATGGACTGAGGATCCTGGTAGGCTACAGTCCATGGGGTCGCAAAGAGTCGGACACAACTGAGCGACTTCACTCACTCATGATATATATGAAAGTTGTTAAAAGAGTAAATCCTAAGAGTTCTCATCACAAGCAAAAAAAATTTTTTTCCATACCTTTGATTTTGTATCTATACAAAATGATAGCTATTCACTAAACTCTTTCTCCCTGGACCCGTCCAGCCCCGTAGCTGCATGGCTGGCTGCCTCTCATTACATAGGTCTCTGTTCAACTATTATTAGAGACACTTTCCTAACCATTTCATATCAAATAGCAACCTCAATCTCTTAAGTTTTTTCTCTTTTTCTGGAAGTATAGACGGTTTATCATGTTGGATTAGTTTCTGCTGTATGGCAAAGTGACTCAGTTATACACATATGTATTTTCATATTCTTTTCCATTCTAGTTTATCATGGGACAGTGAATATAGTTCCCTGTGCTACACAGTAGGACCTGGCTGTTGACTCATTCTCGACACATAGCAGTTGGTATCTGTTAACTCCAAGCTGCTGGGTCTTCTCTTCCCTTCCTCCTCCTTGGCGACCACAGGTCCGTTCTCCATGTCCGCGCCAATCTCTTCTGTTTGATTAGAAGCGCGCCTTGGGTCCTAAATTGATGAAGGACAGCACTGGGACTTCCCTGGTGGTCCAGTGGTTAAGAATCAGCCTTGCAATGCAAGGAACTAAGATCCCATAAGCCATGGAGCAACTAAACCCATGTGCCGTAACTGCTGAGCCTGTGTGCTCTGGGGCCCTCACGACACAACCAGAGAGCCCCTGCGCTGCAAAAGAAAGATTCTGAATGAGGCAATGAAGATACCAAGTGCCACAGCTAAGACCTGACACAACTGGAAAAAAAAAAATGTGCAGCACTGATCCGGCAAATTCATGGGCACCCGGAAGTGTGGAACATAATGGAAGTTAGGGACCAAGCTTCCCATCATGGAACCCCGCGGGGTGCCCAAGAGAGGCCCAGACTCAGATGAGAAGATACATCATTTCATGAAAGTACAAAATGTATTTCTGGAGCCCAGCAGGTACTGTTTTTTAAAGATGTAGTAACAGTAGGTGAGCATTTTAAAAGATGAAAAAAATAGAGAGATCACATCTGGATAGTGGCAATGAAACCCTGGGTTCTTTCATATTTTTTAAATCTTGCATGGATAATGTTGTTTTATGTCCCTTAGCATTATGCTTAACTATTTCTAATAATTAAGACTTGGTTAAAAAATTAACAGTGGGAAGGATTAGTTTCATATGAACATAATGAGTTCAATAGATGATACTACCAGCCTATGAGAGCTAAGTGAGGCCCTTGCAAAGTCGAGAATCAATGTTGGTGGCCAGAGATACAGCAGTGATGGAAACCTTTTCTCTCTTGATCGGGGGAATGATTACACATTTCCCCAAACTCACTGGCCTGTGTCCTTAAAATACTATTTGCATCTTGATGTAAATTATATTTTATTTTAAACATATATCACTGCTGGGACAGACTAGACTTGTGGTTTCCAACAGGGAGGTGGGGGAGGGAAGGATTGGGAGTTCGGCATCAGCAAAAGCAAACTATTATATATAGAGAGTGGATAAACAACAAGGTCCTACTATACAGCACAGTGAACTATATTCAATATCCTGAGATAAATCATAATGAAAGAGAATATGAAGAAGAATGTATATATACATATATATGTGTGTGTATAACTAAATCACTGTTATACAGCAGAAATTAACACATTATAAATCAACTCTACTTCAATAAAATTTTTTAAGAAGCCTCACTGTTGGATCATGGAGTGAAGACTTCCTGAGTAATCGAAAGGTAGAAACAGAGTCTTTTGGGGTCAGGAGCAAGATAAACATGTGAGATAACCACTTTCTCCTAGTTTCCCTCAGGGCTAATCTCAGTGCGGAAGGCCTAAATGCTGCAGGGTTGGCTGAAAAAGAGCGAAAGGTATATGCAGATGGACCGGAGTGTCAGAGGGAGTGGCTGAGTCTGAGGAAGGGACTGGCGGGATCTTCCAAGGGGATCAAGCTTCCCCTTTCCAGATGGATATGGGTTTCCGTGTCTCCTACCTGACTTCTGATGAAGTACAAACAAAGTAAGGTAGGAACTCGACTGCCTTGGTTATGGGACCAGCCTAGAATCAGCCTTTCGGGGCTTCAGACTGAGTTCGCAAGGCCCCCAGAGCAGTCAGTGACTCTTTGGTTCATGTTTCACAATCCCCACTCACAGCTGAATGGTATTTACAAGCACATGGACTCAAGACCATGTAGGATTCCAAGCCCAGACAAAGTGGAAAGAGCCCTGACGTATAAACAAGGGCTGCTCCAAGCATACTCTGCTGATTGGGGTCACTGGTCCACAGTGAGATAAGAGGCTAGGACCAGAATGTAAATGATGGTCTCTGAGCCTGCTGTGTAGTTCAGTGATCCCTTCTTCCCATCACAACTTTCTTGAGGAAGGAAATGACCCATGGCCTACATTCCTTGCAAATCCCTTATACGTTGGGGGCTGATCCAGAGTCTGCAGATTGGCTATTTCAAGCAGCACTGCTATCGTTTCTTGACACTTCATGAAGACAAGGAAAACAGCAGAACATTCACTCAGAAATAACTGATGGAGCCCCTTGGTATGTGTTAGATGCTGGGAAGGAGCTGGGAAAATGACTGAGATGTGGTATCTATTCTTCCTGCAAGACTTCTACAAAAGTAATGGTATCACTGAGATCATCCTTACCAATCTTATGGATTGGCTTAATATCAGATTCATCACACCATATTTGGGGAAATCCTGACAAAACTGCTAACATCCTTATCTGGATGTGTCAGCTTTGTTGTAGGATACTGGGCATCTAGATGTCCCTCTTCCTGAGACATGAAGCACTTGGGAAGCTGCATTTGTGAGACACCTCATTTGGTACATGAGGTCTTTCTTCCCTTTCCCCCTTTCGGCAGAAACATCATCAAGTAGAAGTCAAACAGATAAACTTAGGGCTCCCTGTGGCAAGTCAAGTTTCAGCTTTATAACCATAATGGGAAAAGGACAATCTGATAAAGAGAAGAACAGACTGCTTTGGGAGTCCAGCAGCACAGAATGTATAAGAGACTCCAAAAATGACTCTGGTTTCTATTAAGACAGGGAGAAGGTTATACAAACTTGGAAAGGGCAGGTGTGAAGGTGGACT